AGCGTCCGACTTTCGCTTAGGTCATGATCTCGCGGTTCGTGGGTTCGAGCCCCGCGTCGGGCTCTGTGCTGACTGCCAGCTCAGAGCCTGGAGCCTGTTTCAGTCTGTGACTCCCACTCTCTCTGGCCCTCCTCTGCTCACGCTGTCTCTCTCTCTCCTAGAAATAAATAAATTAATTAAAAAACATTAAAAAATAAATAATTGTGTTATGAGCTCTCACTTATTGAATCATCCCCACATGTTTAGAATAAATACTACTTGTGTGTAGTTTATTATTCTTTTAATGTGGTTCTGTATTCTTTCTGCTAACCCTTTTGTTAAGTGTTGTTCAATAACATTCAGAGTGAATTTACCTGAAGTTGTAGTGTGCATGCATGTGGGTGTGTATGCACATACTACCCTTGTTGAGCTTTTCTATCAAGATCATACTAGCCTCAAATTTGAGGATACGTCCTATTAAGGTAATAAGAGATTAAGTTGACTCCCTTTTAACTAGTCTCCTTCTTCCTGACTAGTAACCGGTCTTCAGATCCTACAATTCAGTGTGAAATGGCATCGCCTGGTAAGTGATATTCTGTAAGACATTAATGTGACTGAAATCTCCCAGGTAAAAAATATAATAAAATAAAATAACTTGTTCACTGTCTCTGTTACAACGAAGTCATAATTTGTGTTTAAAATACATGTGTTTGGGCCAAGGAAAGAGACAATTTGGTTGAAAACTGGCTTTAGGTTTTTCTTCCCTGCAGAATCATATTCTTACTTACCCTCATGTGCTTCAACACTAATTCAAAAGGATGAAAGTTCTGGCCCACCATCCCACTGTTTTACCCATTTTAACTGATCTGCTCCAACAGCCTTGTATTCTTTCTTTCATCATCATTGTGAAACTCCTTCCCATAAAACTGGGTCAGAAGTAATGCCATGAGCAGACAGAAAAAGAAAATATTTTTCCCAATTTACAGCCACAACCTGGAGAAATAAAGACAATGTGAGGATAGCCGTGAGAGAGCGAACCCTTTCCCTGCTCCAGACATAGTGAGATTAGCTAACACATCCGTAGCATTTGTTATATGGTAGGCATGCTCCAAGGGCTTTAAATAACTAACTCATTGAATGCATGCAACAACCCTCCATGGTAAGTACTAATGCTATCCCTCTTGGCAGTTGAAGAGACAAAGCAGCAAGTGACCTGCCTATGGTTATTTAGCTGCCAAGAGGCAGAGCCAGGAAACAAATTCATAGAGTTGAGCTCCAGGGTCTGTGGAGTCACAGTAGGAATTAGTGAGACAGCTTCAAGAATGCGGTCCTATGAAAGTTAAAACCACACTACAATTTCAGATCTTAATTCGTTTTTCAGAAGCAGGGTCTATATTTCTCTCAGCTGTGGAAACAATCAAGTCCAGAAATCAAATTATGACATAGACTTAGGTTGGAAATAGTCAAATACAGAAAACAAAAGAAAAAAAAAGATGGGATATAAAACATAAACTTGTTTGACCTAGGTGTCAGGTTTGGGCCTAAATTGAGTTCCTGCTAGGCTTCAAGCTCATCTGGACCACTCACATTGAGGCAGAATTAGGGAACAAAAAAGCCTGCAAGAAAAGAACACATCTCAAGTGAAGAGATTATCAAGGTGCAGTTCAAGGGCAAGGGGCTGGTAGAAGAGGGGAGGTGAGGCTCTCACCAAGGCAGCTACTGAGTCCTAGGATGATGGGGCTGCTATTAGAGAGAAAAGCAATAAGCAGTTGGAAATGATGAGAGTAAATGAGGTTGCCTGTGGCTGTTGCTATAAAGCGAGAGCCTCTTTTGTATAACCCCAGTTCTCTTGATAATGGCTACCAGCAGCCATTGGGACCCTATCAGCATGGGCTAGCAGGAGCATTAATGCCTTTGACCAGATGGCAAGAACAGCATCAGCAGAATCTTTTGGCTTTCATAGGGATAGGCAATGTCATCCTAGCAAATCAGCAATAAAAGAGTTATCACAATTTAAAAACTACTGAAGATAGCTCAAATATATAAAACAAAATATTTCTGTATCTAAGTAGACAAATCTATCCAATTATTTCTTTTTCAAAAATATATCAGCTAATTTTACTCATTTACACTTCCGCATGAACTGTGGAATATACTTGTCAAATTTCTCCCAGAATTTCTTTGCCATTTTGACTCGAATTGCACTAAGTTTATAGATTAATTTATAGAGAATTTACTTCTTTAAATTATTGTTTTGTCATCTGGCACATGTATTTTTCTTTCCACCTATTTGAATCTTCAGTAAAGTTTTTTTCTTCAAGTAGACTTGTACATTTCTTGACCATTTATTTAGGGGTATTTTATAGACTGTATGCTTATTGAGTATAAATGATATGATTTGCAAATATTTTCTCCCAGTATATTGATTGTCTTATCTTTTCTTTAATGGTATCTTTTGAAGAGCAAAAGGTTTTAGCATTAATCAAGTCTAGTTTATCATTTTTTTTCTTGTGTTGACTGTGCTCTATAGCTGTATCAAAGAAAACTGCCTGAACCAAAAATGTCAAAAATGTTTTCCTATCTTTTTCCTAAAGGCTTTATGGTTTTGAGTTTTACATTTAGATCTGTCATCCATTTTGAGACATTTTTGTGCAGGCATGAGGTAAAAATATAAATTTTTATTTTTACATATGAATCTCTATTGTCCCACTCTTATTTTTAACATACTGCATGTTGCAAAACAATGTGACCTGCGTAATTTCTGTTTCTGGGAACTTAAAGAGATTTTCTTTGTGAAGTGGATATATGATAAATGTTAACTGTTTTATGGTTTTATGAAAGTAGAATGCTCTTATTTTTAAAAAATGAGAATAATCAGAGATCCTCACCCTCTTGAACTGCTGGAGTTGATAATGAACATGATGGTTTTCATGATCTGTTTTACTCAGTTTCTTTTTTTTTATATTACATACTAAATAATATCCTTTATCCTTTTTTTTTTTTAGTGTTTTATTTATTTCTAGGAGAGAGAGAGAGAGAGAGACAGCACCAGCAGGGGAGGGTCAGAGAGAGAGGGAGACACAGAATCTGAAGCAGGCTCCAGGCTCTGAGCTGGCAGTCAGCACAGAGCTGGACGCGGGGCTCGAACCCACAAACCGCGAGATCATGACCTAAGCGAAAGTCGGACGCTTAACCGACTAAGCCACCCAGGCGCCCCTATCCTTTATCCTTTTAAACCTGAGGGTTTAAAAGATGATATTAAAGAAATGAGAAGGAAAGACAGCAGTAAGTTACATCAGCAGAATTCCATCGGATATTGAGACAGATATCTGTGAATGTAGAGCTTCACATTGGCCACCACCAGCAAGTTTGAGAATTGCATGAATGAAGTCTCATTGAAATTTGGACCTAAAACAACACTTTGACTCACCAGTACCAAGTAGATATTACTAGACAGTGATACTGGACACACTAACTGGTTACGATAGCTATGTATACTTAAGCTTAAAATTAAAGTTCCTCTTTTTGCAGACCCCAATCAATAAAATGGAAATCCTTCCCATTTGGGAAGTCAGGGATATTTGGGTCTCTCAGTTTGTAGATAGCCTCTGCTTTTACAACCATGCTGTAACTTTTGAGTTACCTCAAGAGAGTATACTCTAGTGGCTATCAATAATGCAGTTCAGCAGAAATGCTCACTGCTCTGTTTGGGGGAGAAGAATCAGAGAGAACACAAGGGGCAGAAGTCCACCTGAGAAAGATGATAAAGGTCTGAGATCTCTAGGCATACAGTATCAGTTTCTTCAATGAGTATTTATCTTTTAAAAAAAATTTTTTTTTTAATTTTTGAAAGCGATAGTGCAAGTGGGGGAGGGGCAGAGAGAGAGGGAGACACAGAATCCAAAGCAGGCTCCAGGCTCTGAGCTGTCAGCACAGGGCTCAAACTCATGAACTGTAAGATCATGACCTGCGCTGAAGTTAGAGCTTAACCCACTGAACCACCCACCTCAGTAAGTATTAATCTTTTATAGCAGCAGCAGTCAAAAGGCAGGTACTGTACCAAGTACACATGATTTTGATTTTGCCACAATAAAATAGACTTGCTTTTTTGAGAGTCTCATGTGTTGACTTTGGTCTTGGAGAAAGAAAAAGTAACCTTTGGCTACTAGTGCCTTTTTGTTTGTTTGTTTGTTTGTGTCTGGAGATAACTGAGGACCTCAGATCCAAATGTGAGACCCACACTGAATGCTCAGCATAGGGAACTTGCCAGTGTGAAGATCGACAGCAACTCTGCACTGAACTCTTCCACCCAAGTCTCCAGTGGCCTTTGTGGCTCCAAATCCTAAAGATATTTTTCTGTCTTTTTCTTTTGTGACCTTTAAGCACTGCCGCCAGTCACTATGTATCTCTTAAATCTCTCCTATTTCCACTGCCAACGCCAGAACCAACCCTCTTCTATTACAGTCTCTCTCCTGGGTAACATTAGCTTTAACTGTTCTCCTTGCAATCAGTTTATCTTGTTCAATTGAGCCTACAAAGAAGCCCAGTGATCTTGTCCCTCTTTTGATTAAATGACTCCTCACGCCCCACCTGCTTGTTCTTAGAGATGAGTAGCAAATCTTTAGGGTTTAAAAAAGGACTTGCTGTGATCTGGCCTTTCTGGGCCCATGACTTGCCACTCTCCTTACTCTCTTTGCTCTGGCCAGGACTTCTTTCATGTCCTATAATGCAATGGGTCTCAATTCTGGCTTCATATTAGAATTATGTGTGGAGCTTTGAAAACAAAAACAAAAACCTATTACTAGGACCATACCTCTGGATCTGGATTCACTGGTGTGGGGTGAGTTCTAAGCATCTGGATTTTTAGAAGGTATCCAAAGATGATGTTAAGGCTCAGCCAAAGTTGAGAGCTACTTCTCTAAAGCATTAAACCCTTTCTCAACTCATGGGTATTCATTCCCTCAATTCAGATTTCTCATCTAGGGAGCTAGAGATGAAGGAAAAGGTGCAGAGGACCATCACATTATATTCTAGAGAACCAAGTCCTCTTGGTCTCTTTGACCACTGGTTAATGGTTGGAATGGAACCAAATGGTCCCCTTTGAAAATTCCCAGGATTGCTTGAGAATTACTAGAAGGGAGTTCAAATTCTCTCAGAATAATGATTATTATGATAATGCCATTTGCCCTCAGACTAAGGTGACATCGGAAACACATAATGTCTGTGATTTGAAACATCTGAGGTTAAGGAACTAGTCAAATTGACATGAGTCCAATTTTTCTGGCCAAGAATGACAACAGACCTTGAATAAAAATGTCAGTGATATAAGATATATATAAGAAGCAGATGATCAGCTTAAAGAAGAAAGCCAAAATAATAAATATGGAAGCATAAGGACCACCAGGCTGGTCCTAGAAGCTATTATTATGAAATAGATTACAAAGTACAGATTTCCAGGATTGTGACCATCTTATCATTTACTGTGGGTTTCCAGTGAAGAGCTTTGGTGATGGTCATTGAAAATGAGATGAGGGGCGCCTGGGTGGCTTAGTCGGTTAAGCATCCGACTTTCGCTTAGGTCACGATCTCGCGGTTCGTGGGTTCGAGCCCCGCGTCGGGCTCTGTGCTGACTGCCAGCTCAGAGCCTGGAGCCTGTTTCAGTCTGTGACTCCCTCTCTCTCTGACCCTCCCCTTCTCACACTGTCTCTCTCTCTGTCTCCTAGAAATAAATAAAACATTAAAAAATTTAAAAAAAAAAAAAGAAAAAGAAAATGAGATGAAAGAGAACTTATCCATGTAATAGAAGTTAAGGCCAGCATGATAATCATCACTCCCCGGAGGTGGCACTGAAAAATTTCTGGAAACAGCAGTGAGCATGTTATGTAGTCTGAATAATAACAAAGAGGCTAATTGGGGAAAGCAAGTAAAATTCCTGGCCAATTCCTATATTGTCCTAGATTGACACCACTTCAGAACCCATTTATAGATGTTAGATAATCCTATTGCTTACCGATATGCACATTGGCTTTTAGTATTACATTAATCTTAGTGGTACCTATAGCACAGGCAAAAGCATGTCGTCCACAAGAAGGAAGGGATGTGCTGTAAATCAGTTAATCAACAAAAATGTGATACCAAGGTACTAAGAGCAGAACAATAACCTGGTTGTAGTAACAAATTTGGCCATGAAAAAAAGAGAAACTGGCTAACAGATGGGAAGCAGAAGTCCATGTTATTATAGATCAACTAACTGACAGTTTATTACTGTGGAGCAAGCTCCAGGGTTGAGTGGAAATAGTGGAAACATGTTCATAGAGAAACATGTTTCTCAATCCTCTATGTACCTCAGAATCACCTGGAACCCTTGTGTGTGTGTGTGGGAGAGAGAGAGAGAGAGAGAGAGATCTTGAATACAGACCTCTTAAATCTCTGCAGGTGTGGTCCAGGAATCAAAATCAATTGTTTTGGGGTGCCTGGGTGGCTCAGTCGGTTAAGCGTCCAGCTTCGGCTCAGGTCATGATCACATGGTTCATGGGTTCAAGCCCCGCGTCGGACTCTGTGCTGACAGCTAGCTCAGAGCCTGAAGTCTGTTTCAGATTCTGTGTCTCCCTCTCTCTCTGACCCTCCCCTGCTCACACACTCTCTCTCTCAGAAACAAATAAAACATTAAAAAATTTTTTTAAACAAAAAACCCCCCAAAACCCCCAAAATCAATTGTTTTTCAGGCCCTCAGTGTATAGCCAGAGTTGAGAATCGCTGATTTCAATTTGAGGTGTTTACAAATTGATTTCCAAGGACTAACACCCAGTTAGAACTTTATGAGGAAAGTTCCCATTGAGGCAATAGTCCCAAAAGACCATGGCTTATATTGTGACAGAACATGTTGTTAGTCACTGCCCAGAGAAATTCTAGTGTATTTCTTGCCAAATTGAAAGAAAATGGTGCCAAAGACAAAAATGTCTAACTTCAAACTAGACAAATCACCATTTATAGTTCCATGCCGCAATGGGAGTTTTCTGCCATGTAGGTTTTATGTTCTCTAAGTAATGGTAACATGCAACATGCTAATAAACAACATAGCAAAGAACTATTCTCTTGAGATTGAATAAAATCATGTTTGTATTGTTAGGAATCAATGATAGATAAATATGTTAGAGAAAGTGGTTTTTTACACCACTCAGTCTGAGCATAGCCCAGAGAGGGGGTTGTTAGAAAGTGTTGCACGTGTTGTTACCCAGGGAGGTCATGGCAGTATTCTTGTGCCTAGTGGGGAAATGTCAGTTTTTAGTTCAGATCCCAAACAGGAAGTTTCTTAAATAGATTCAATGTCTGAGTGAGGTTGGTCCCTGTGGTTTTCAGATGACCATCTCCTTGCATCCTCATGTGGCAGAGAGAGAAAGCAAGCTCTTTTGCATCTCTCTTAGAAAGGTATGAATCCCATCTTGGGGTCCTACCCTCATGATTCATCTGAACCGCATTATCTCCCAAAGGCCCATTTTCAAATGCTATCACATAGGGGATTAGAGTTTCAACATATGGTTTTGGAGGGGACATAAACTTGCAGTCCATAACATGGACTTAACATTGGGTTAACTCTCCCATCCCACAAAGGTAGAACACAATCCCCACAGGGCACTCAATACTGAGTCAGAGGAGCGGCACTGAGCAGACAGGAAAGGGCTTTTGTCAGGGTGATCAGAAATCAGTGTTTGCACTGATTGCAAGTGTTTGCAAATGCTTTAGAGGATAAATACCCTTAGAAACAGCATTATTTTACAGCAGTACCCAAAAAAGAACTTTGAGTTATTTTAGAAGTACAGGCTGAGAATTTCCAGAAATAGTACTATTGGTTCTGATGCAAGAAGTGACATTGCAGGGCGCCTGGGTGGCTTAGTCGGTTAACCGTCCGACTTTCGCTTAGGTCATGATCTCGCGGTTCGTGGGTTCGAGCCCCGCGTCCGGCTCTGTGCTGACTGCCAGCTCAGAGCCTGGAGTCTGTTTCAGTCTGTGACTCCCTCTCTCTCTGACCCTCCCCTGCTCATGCTGTCTCTCTCTCTCTCCTAGAAATAAAAAAAAAAAAAACATTAAAAAAAATAAAAAAAGAAGTGACATTGCAACAGAGGCTTGTGTAAACAAGACAGGATGCACACAAGAAAAGAGATGCTTTTCCACTAGGCTTTCCTCAGGTCTCCAGTTTCTTCAGTAAAGATCTGGAAAGTCTTCATCGATCTCACTGATTATCCTTGATACATTTAAAGCACTATACATTGACCTGTACATGATTCTCACTCTACAGCATAAGACATTCTTCAATAAGTCCTGATTTAAATCATCCCACTGGTATAATTATCAAGAGACTCCACAGTGAGTAGATTGTACTTAACAGTTACAGTGTTGTAAAGAACATCCTTGACAAAATTTTGTCTGGAAATGCTACTTATAGAAGCACAATGGTGTAAAACGCCACCATTTAGGCCAAGCTGCTATCATGAGTTTAAATTACTTTGGTCTCAACACTATGAACTCTTGGACTTCTATTCCAATCCAGTTTGATCCCATTGGTCTCTGTGAAGGAGAGAACTACATGTCATGCCTCAAGGACTACCATCATGGATTCTTTTCTTTTTCCTGATACTTCCAGGAGCACAGAGCCACCAGACTATGGGACACATTCTCAGGCCTGTTATGTGATCAAGCCATGATCCTCGCCATGAACTCCAGGTACAACAAGCTATAACGCTCTCCGATTTCACTGACTGAATATCTTTAAAACACAATAGAGAAAACTCACACTTGTGAAAAACAAAAAATTACTCCAAATCCCACCATCCTAATTCAGCAGCTATTATTTCTCTCTTTCTCGTGTTCTTCTTTAATTCTTCTGTATTGCAAGGGGAAGCAGATAATCTAATTATTGTGGAAAAATAAGTAAATTTGTACAATTCAAATTTCTGTAATATTTTTCCTTTTGGCACTATGTCTTAAGTTTTTATTTTTCTGCCCAATCATATTTTCATTTTAATGGCAGTAGAATATTCCCAAATTTTTTTCTAAATTATATTTTATTTTACTAATATTGTGATAATCATCTTTGTATATAAAAGATTGTGTCTTCTCTATTATTTTGAAATAGCCTTCTGTGGGTGAGGTTACTGATTTAGATCATTGGTAACCATAAAAATGCCCTGTTCCTGGGGCGCCTGGGTGGCTTAGTCGGTTAAGCGTCCGACTTTCGCTTAGGTCATGATCTCGCGGTTGGTGGGTTCGAGCCCCGCGTCGGGCTCTGTGCTGACTGCCAGCTCAGAGCCTGGAGCCTATTTCGGAGTCTGTATCTCCCTCTCTCTCTCTGACCCTCCCCTGCTCACGCTGTCTCTCTCTCTCTCTCTCCTAGAAATAAATAAAAATATTAACAAAAAAAAACAAAAAAAAAAAAGCCCTGTTCCTGGGGATCCTAACTGGTTGACAATCCCAGCTGCGGCCTATGTGGGTCATCAGCATGACTACCCAGGCAACATGGCAGGCCAGTCAATGCGGTGGGTGACTTTGAATTGAGGAAATCCATTAACCTTGCTGAGCCCTTTTTGGAACTTGCTGTAGTCTCAGTTACTTTCTAGGCAAGCCTGCCTGCCTGCCTGCCTGCCTGCTTTCCTGCTTTCCTTCCTTCCTTCCTTCCTTCCTTCCTTCCTTCCTTCCTTCCTTCCTTCTCTTAGAAATCTCATGGATCTCTAATTCTGTTTTGGCATTTGCTTCCCCTGGACCCAAACTAATGCAGATAGGATGAAAAAAGTTTCTTAGAGCTTTTAATAAGCTTTTAATAAGGAGATTTTGCTATCCAGAAAAACCTCACTAATAATAAATGTCTCTTCAAAGCCTAGCCACAAGAAGATACAGGTACATACATACATTTTTCTACTTTACTGATTTAATAGGTTCAAAATTATACCTCATTATTATTTTGACTTATATTCCTTTCAAAAAAGCAAGACTCAATTTTTTTCTGTATGTTTATATATTTATGAATTTTCTTAGTGGGAATTTTCTCATTATCTTTGTCACTTCATTGAGATTTTAGTGGTGGTATATATTTAGTAAGCTTCTCATGGTATTTTTATGGTTTTAAATTTTTTTCTTCTTTTTTATAGTGTTAGAATTGATTTCATAGTCATAGCTGTATTTTTTCTTCATTTTTTTGTGTGACATCTAGTATAAAATTAATTCTCCATTGCACTTTAATATTATATTCACTTTCTCCTAGTTTTCTGTTATTTGATGTTTGTTGCCCTCTAGTCTATACTACATATTTTTATGTATGCACTATTTTAAAATATCTTTCCAATTCCACTACACAGACCAGAAGTCAACAAACTATGGTCCATGAGCTAAATCCTCCTGCTTTTTGCAGCCTTCTGGTGTACATTCTGAGAGAAAAGAATGTTTTTTACATTTTCAAATAGTTGGAGGGGGGTTAAAAGAAGAAGTCTATCTATTTCATAACACGTAAATGCTATATGAAATTCAAATTTCAGGGTCCATAAAGAAAGTTTTGTTGAACACAGCCATGTTTATATATTCACGTATTGTCTATGACTGCTTTCACATCACAATGGCAGAACCAAGTAGAGAGAGACCATTTTGCCTAACATACTTCTTATTTGGGCAGTCAGAAAATGTTGGCTGATTCCAATACAGATAATACTTATTTAAAATGCCTTATTTCCAAAGGCTTATTTAGCTGTGCTATTTTTTTAAAAAATTGATCTGTGTAATGGAATAGCTATGGGTTTAAGGGTCCCAAGCTGTTCTTGAGTATCTTGATGGCAGTGGTGATATATGAGCCGCCACGTGTGAGAAAATTGTATAAAACTAAATACACACATACGCACATAAGCACAAATAAAATTGGGGACATCTGAACAGACTGGTGGATTGAATCAATATCAATATTCTGATGGTAATATATTATAGTCTTTGGAGAATGTTACCATTTGGGAAAACTGAGCTGAGTGTATTAGATGTTTTTCTGTATTATTTCTTACAACCATATGTGAATCTACAAATATTTCAATAAAATTTTAATTAAAAAAAGAGTTCTAAAAGTGCATTCTGACCCAACATGAAATACTATCACAGTAATTTCATCCCACATTTGGCCTGGTAAGGGAGATGGAGTGTTTATCTAGGTATTTTCTGTTCCCATATGAAGGTATTCTCTAGAATATACATTCTCTTCCATTGTTCAGAATTTTGTGGTAGTCCCACCACTAGACTGTTTTGATTTAGTGCTATCTTGTAATAGATTTTATTATCTGATTGTGTTGGATCCTCCTCATTTTCTTGATCATTTCCAGCATTGTAACTTATGATAAACCTTTTAATTTTTTTTTCCAAATGAAAGGTAAATGTATTTTATCAACTTTTTGTGACAATGTCCTGAAATTGAAATTGCACTTTCAGAGTTTGTAAAATGATTTGAGATTAATTGACATTTATAAATGATTTTCCTATTTATAAATCTATCTTCCTAATTATTCAAGTTCTGTTTTATGTTATTACTTAAAAGTGTGTTTTTGTTTTGTTTTTTTGGGGTGACTTGGCTCAGTCAGTTAAGCATCTGACCTTGGCTCAGGTCATGATTTCATGGTTTGTAGGTTTAAGTCCCACATCAAGTTCTGTGCTGACAGCTAGGAGTCTGGAGTCTGCTTTGGATTCTGTGTCACCCTCTCTCTCTTTCCCTCCACCACTCACACTCTGTCTGTCTGTCTCTCTCTCAAAAATAAATTAACAAATTTTTAAGTTTGAGACATTTTTGACATAGATTCTGCACATTACTAGACTAGCTTCTTAGTTATACTGTATTTCAGGGTTCCCCCCCACCCCAATTTGTTTGAACAGCAATTTCTGATATACTGGGATGCATATGGGATTTTTAGGGGGGGTATATTTATCCCGTGTTTGATTGAGTTCACTGAACTATTTTTATTAGACCATGTCTTAATTTGAAATACAGCTCTAACACAACATTTTAAATAGGAAATTGAACTCTTATGTTGTTCCTGTTTTTAATAAAATCTCTTACACTATTTCTCAATTAGCAAAATGGTGGATCTTGGTTGAAATAAAACCTTTCAAGAAATTATTTTACAGATTTTTTCCTTAGAATATGATGCTGATTATTACTTTTCCAAGATTGATTCAAGCACGATTTTTAACTTAATCTAATAGGTATGTATTAATCAATAGTTTTTAAGATATTGGACCATCCTTACATTCCAATGATAAACGATGATTGGTGGCATTTTAATATTATTTTTTTTGTTTTAAAAATTATTATTCTAAAAATTAATATTTATTCTCATAAATGAAATTAGTTAATTTTTTATTTTTTTAATTCCAGTGTAGTTGACATTCAGTGTTTATTAGTTTTAGGCATACAATATAGTAAGTGATTCACCAATTTACTCAGTGTTCATTGAGATAAGTGTACTATTAATCTCCTTCACCTATTTCATCCATTCGCCTGGCCTACCTCCCCTCTGGTAACCATCTGCTACCAGAGTCTAGCTAACAATCTGTGTTTTGGTTTGCCTCTTTTTTCCCCCTTTGTACATTTGTTTGGTTTATTAAACTCCACATATGAGTGAAATCATATGACAGTTTTCTTTCTCTGATTAGCTTATTTTGCTCAGCATTATAATCCGTAGATCAATTTGTGTTGTTGAGAATGATAAGATTTCATTCTTTTCATGACTGACTAATATTGCATGGTGTATATATGTGTGTATGTGTGTATATATATATTTATACTTCTTTATCCATTCATCTATGGATGGATATTTAGGCTGCTTCCATAATTTGGCTACTGTAAACAGTGCTGCAATAAACATAAGGGTGCGTATATCCTTTTAAATTAGTGTTTTTGTATTTTTTGGGTGAATGCCCAGTAGCACAATTACTGGATTGTTAGGGGAGTTCTATTGTTAATGTTCTGAGAGACCCCATACTTTCATCCACAGTGGCTGTGCCATTTTACGTTCCCATCAACAGTGCAAGAAGATACCTTTTTCTCCATATCCTTGCCAACACCTGTTGTTTCTTGTGTTGTTGATTGTAGCCATTCTGACAGGTGGGAGGTAATATATCATTGCGGTTTTGATTTGAATTTCTCTGATGATGAGTGATGAGGAACATCTTTTCTTGTGTCTGTTGACCATCTAGATGGCCTCTGTAGAGAAATGTCTACGTATGTCTTCTGCCCATTTTTAAATTAGATTATTTGTTTTTTGGGTGTTGAGTTTCATAAATTCATTATGTATCTTGGATACTAACCCTTTATTGAACATGTCATTTGCAAGTATCTTCTCTCAATCAGTAGATTGTCTTTTAGTTTTGTTGGTTGTTTCATTTTCTGTGCAGAAGTTCTTATTTTGATGTAGTCCCAATAGTCTATTTTTGCCTTTGTTTCCTTGCCTCATGAGACCTATGTACAGATAGGTTACGGCCAAAGTCAGAAATTAGTGCCTCTGTTCTCTCGTAGGATTTTTTATGGTTTCAGGTCTCACACTTATATCCTTAATCCATTTTTACTTTATTATGTATTATGTATGAAAGTGATCAGTTTCATTTTCATGTAGCTGTCCAGTTTTCCAATACCATTTGTTGGAAAGACTGCCTTTTTCCCACTCAATATTCTTTCCTGCTTTGTCAAAGATTAATTGACCATG